GGGCTGGGCTCGGCGCGGTGCCGGCGCGCGGATCGCCGCTAAGATGGAGGGGCTGCGGGCGTGCGGCACAAAGCCGGGCTGAGCTCTGACCCCGCTGCCCGCACAGCCCCGCGGCGCAGCCCCGGGACCGCGGCACGTCGGGGTGCCCCGTGCCGCCCATCGCCCGGGGGCTGCCGCCCCCCCGGGGCACGGCGTCCCCCCGGAGGTCCCCTGGGCGCCCGCCCGGCTCCCTCACCGGGTTTGCAGCGCTCGCTGCGGTGCGGTGCCGTGGCTGCTGCTCGCGGGGGGGTTGCAGGGTGACCTTGGCTGCAGGACCGCTGGTTTTGCCCATCGCGGGTTGGCTGCGTGCGTTCAGCCGGGAGCCGTCACTGCCCGGGGTGATGCTTTCCTTGCAGGGTGATTGCCCCGGTGCAGTGCTCGGTTTTGGGGACCCCTTTGCGTGCCGGCTGGAGGCACTGAGTGCTCTGAGGACGTTTCTTGTACCCTGCAGCTGTGCTGGGGCTTGGTGGAGCTGGGAAGTGCTTGGAGAGCTGGATGCCCTGGAACGTGGGGGCTTGGGGGTGTTGGGTTCCCCCAGCCCTGTTCCTGTTTAACGGGAGTTCTGTGTGTGCCAACACCCTGAGCCTCCGTGTGAGGTCGGGAGACCTTTTGGCGTCAGCCCCGCTGGGTTGGGGGGAACTGCAGAGACCCACCTTGGGCTCAGTCACATCCAGGGGTGCAGCTCCCCAGGGCTCTGCCCCAGCTCCGTGCCGTGCTGGAGTGCTGCCTGCCGCGGGGTTGGTACCGACAGATGCTGATGTGGGGTGGTGGAGGAGTTTTGCTTTGTGTCTTGGGGATTTCTGTCCCGGCGAGAAATCCCCAGAGCTGGGCCGGTGGTGGGAGCCGGGCAGCCCCGTGGCACTTCCTGGGCACGTGGTTGTAATTAAATCCCTTCCTGGGCAGCGGTGCTCCTCTGCAGGGATGCAGGGGGCTGTGTCCGTTCCTGTCCCTGTGTCTGGGGAAGGCTAGCAGGGGCAGGACTTGGATCTCGCCGTGCCCTGCCGGGGTCTGCAGCGGCTGTGGGATCTCACAAGACGTGCTGGGGCCTCTGCCCCGGGGCCGGACTCTGTTCGCCCATCCATGAATCTGCGGTGCATGACAACAGCTGTGCTCCTGGGGACCGTGTGGGGAGGGACGGCTCATCCCGACCCCCTGCCGTGGGGGCGGGCATCCGCTGTGCAGCCCCGCAGGAAGCTCTGTGTGCTTCCCGGCCGTGTTCTGGCTCCCCTGGGATTTCCAGCTCAGTGACCCCAGCACCCTTCATTTCTGGCAGAGCTCGCTCCCCACCCACAGGTAGGGGTTTGCAGACCCCAGCCCAGCACCTGGCGCTGTGCTGCAGGTCACTGAGCTAACTTGGCTTGCTGTGTGGCTCCATCCCTGTGTTTGGGTGTCCCTGGAACCCCAGGTGGCAGAGATGCTTGGTGGGTGCCATCCCTGCCTGCCCTGTCCCCAGGGCTGCTGTGTCACTTGTGTGATGCTTCTCAGTTCCCCAGCTGCTGCTGCTTGTTGGGCTCCTGCTTTTCTGTGATGTCGGTGCTGCGGTGCAGACTCTTCCGCTGGGGACCCCGCGGCTCTGCTCCCTTCTCCTCCACCACTGCTTCTCCCTCCCAGCCCAATTCAGGGCTGCGGGGGCCTCGCTGACCTACTGAGCCGTTGACCTGAAAGGGGCTGTGCTCACCCTGCTGGAAGGCGCCCGTGCTGAGTGACAGCCCTGGAGATGGGCTTGTGCACGCTCTGCTGCGCCCTCGGCACGGAGCAGCTGTTGGGGCACACGGAGGTGCTGTGTCCTTGTGGATGCTGGGCAGCCAAGGAAGGGTGGAGGCTGCAGGGTGCTTGGATGATGTGCTCCGTGTTGGGTCCCTGCCCTTTCTGGGAATCCTCCCGACCCTCTGGGTGGGACCGCTTGCAGGGGGCTCGGTTCCAGCCCCGGTGCAGGTGGTGGCCCCCCGTGCTGCCGCGTCCGTAAAACATCTCTCTGGGGCCTTAGTGGGGAATTCGCGGGGTTTGAAGGCTCTGCCAGGCTGGGCTGCAGCCATCTGTGGCTGCCAAGCGTCGGCTCCCTGCCAGGCTGACGGGGCTGAGGTTGGAGCCCCCGGGGTGGAGCGAAGCCAGTGGGTGGTGGGGAACGGCCGGGCCGGGGGGTGACGCTGGCTGTGCCATTGCAGCTGGGATGAGAGCAGCTCCATCAGCAGCGGCCTCAGCGATGCCTCTGACAACCTCAGCTCGGAGGAGTTCAATGCCAGCTCCTCGCTCAACTCCCTGCCTTCCACCCCCACGGCCTCGCGCAGGAACTCGGCCATAGCGGTAGGTGCTGCCATCCCCTCCGGGCAGCGTGGCACCGCGTGGGGAAACCGAGGCACGGCAGAGGCATGGCGCGGTGACCTGGTGGGGCTGTGAGCACCCTTGGGTGCCCGGTGCCCCCATCCCCTGGTGCACCCATGGCTCCGTTCTGCCCGCAGCTGCGCACCGACTCTGAGAAGCGCTCGCTGGCGGAGAGCGGGCTGAGCTGGTACGGGGAGGCGGACGAGAAGGCACCCAAGAAGCTGGACTACGACAGCAGCAGCCTCAAGATGGAGCATGGCTCCTCCAAGTGGCGGCGGGAGCCTGCAGAGAGCTGCGAGGAGGGTTCCAAGGGTGGAGAGCTGAAGAAGCCGGTCAGCCTGGGCACCCCCGGCTCCCTCAAGAAGGGCAAAACCCCACCGGTGGCAGTGACCTCTCCCATCACCCACACGGCCCAGAGCACCCTCAAAGTGGCAGGTGAGGCCAGGATGGGGCTCGGCACGGCTCCTCAGGGGGGGAGGTGGTGGGGTTAGGTGGGAAGAGGGGAGGTTACGATTAGATATGGGGGGAAATCCTTTACTCAGAGCACGGTGAGGCCCTGGCACTGCTGCCCAGAGCTATGGGTGCCCCATCCCTGGAGGTGCCTGGGGCCAGGGACGGGTCCTGGGCAGCCTGAGCTGAAGGGGGGCATCCTGCCCACGGCAGGGATCGGGGCTGGGTGATGTTTAAGGTCCCTTCCAACCCAACTGTTCCTTCCTCTCTGTCATCTCTGCTTTCCCATCTCCATTGCTTCCCTCAGCTCTGAATTGTTTTGCACCTAACTGTCCCTCAGACCTCCCCGCTCACTCATCCTTCCTTCCCCACCAGGCAAACCCGAGACCAAAGCCACCGATAAGAGCAAGCTGTCGGTGAAGAGCACGGGGCTGCAGCGCTCCTCCTCTGACGCTGGCCGCGATCGCGTCGGCGATGCCAAGAAGCCGCCCTCGGGTCTCACGCGCCCCTCAGCCTCCAGCTCCTTTGGCTACAAGAAACCGGCCCCGGCCACCGGCACTGCCACTGTCATGCAAGCCGGGGGCTCAGCAACGCTGGGCAAGATCCAGAAGAGCTCCGGTATCCCCGTCAAGCCGGTCAGCGGGCGGAAAACAAGCCTGGATGTCTCCAACGCGGCCGAGCCCGGCTTCCTGGCCCCGGGGGCTCGCACCAACATCCAGTACCGCAGTCTGCCCCGGCCGGCCAAGTCCAGCTCCATGAGTGTGACCGGTGGCCGCGGCGCTAACCGGCCGGTCAGCAGCAGCATCGATCCCAGCCTGCTCAGCACCAAGCAGGCCAGCATCACGGTGTCGCGGCTCAAGGAGCCGTCCAAGATCGGTGCTGGCCGTGGCACGCCGGCCCCCGTGAACCAGACGGACCGGGAGAAGGAGAAGGCCAAGGCCAAGGCCGTAGCGCTGGACTCCGAGTGCGTGACGCTGAAGAGCGTCGGCTCTCCTGAGAGCACCCCCAAAGCCCAGGCCAACCTCCCGCCGGCGGCCAAGGTGGCTGAGCTGCCCCCCACCCCCCTCAGGTATGACCCTCCCACCTAGAATCTAGAATCATAGAATCATTAAAGCTGGAAAAGACCTCGGAGGTCATCAAGTCAAAGCATCAACCCGTCATCACCGTGCCCACCCATAGAGTCATTAAGGTTGGAGAAGACCTCTAGGCCCACCAAACCCAACCCGTGCCCACCCACCCGTGCCTCTCAGTGCCATATTTGTGCTTTAGATGAACGGGGTCCTTTGGGATGTTGCACCCAGTGCCTGCTCTCACTTTGTCTCATCCATTTTTTACCCCAGAGCGGCTGCCAAAACCTACGTGAAGCCTCCCTCATTGGCCAACTTGGACAAGGTCAACTCCAACAGCCTGGACTTGCCCTCCTCCAGCGAGCTGCATCCCCCACACACTGCCAAGCTCCAGGACCTGCACCCAGCTGGTGGGCACCTGACACCCTGCTTCAGCCCCAGTCCTGCTCCCATCCTCAACATCAACTCGGCCAGCTTCTCCCAGGGCCTGGAGCTCATGGGCGGCTTCAGCGTCCCCAAGGAGGGCAGGATGTACCCTAAGCTCTCCGGCCTGCATCGCAGCATGGAGTCCCTGCAGATGCCCATGAGCCTGCCCAGTGCCTTTTCGGGGGGCAGCACCGCCACCCCCAGCCCTGCTGCTGTCCCCCCTGCCAGCACAGAGGAAGAGGAGGAGGCGGGTGAGCTGGGCTGGAGCGGCAGCCCCCGGCTTGCACACCTGGACAGGTATGAGCAGAGGGTGGGCAGCAAGACTCAACCCCATAACCCTGTCCATCATCATCCTCCTCTGGAGTTTGCTTGCTTCAGAGGTTCATTCTGGGGGGAAATGTGCATCCCCCTCCTATCACCCAGCCCCTAGCTGCCTCATCACATTCCCCTGTCTGTGCAGGGAGGTGACTGATCTTCCCTTCCCTTCCAGCACCAACCGTGACAGGAACACGCTGCCCAAGAAGGGGCTGAGGTAAAAGGGTCCACGTGGCTTTTGGGTGGCGCAGGGAGGGTGGATGGGTGGGCAGAGCACCCAGCAGTGTGGGGCTGGCTGTGCAGCGGGGCAGGCGGGCAGGAGGTAGGGAGGTGTCCACACCATCTCACTCCATGCTCCGCTCCAGGTACCAGCTGCACTCCCAGGAGGAGGCCAAGGAGCGCCGCCACTCGCACACCATTGGAGGGCTGCCCGAAGCGGACGATCAGCCGGAGCTGCCCTCACCCCCTGCCCTCCCCATGGCTCTGGTTGGGAAGGGTCCGCTCACCAGCATCGGTCAGTGCCCACCTCCTCCTTGTGCCAGCCTGGGTCCCTCTGTGCCCCGATGCCCCGGTTCGTTGCTGCCCCTGCTCCAGAGCCTAGGGTCAATGTTCTGTTGTTTTTTTGGCACACCCAGCGCTCATACCATTCCTTTTGCCACACTGAGGTTCTGGGTTGTGGCTGGGGGCCGACGGCTTTGCTTCAGGGCATCCGACTCATCCTCGGTGCCCTGCATGCTCCTCTGGGGGTGCAAAGTGGAGCCCTGCTGCATTCTCGCTGGGACCTATGTGTCCCAGGAGGGTCTGGGGGACTCAGGCAAAGGGACTGGGGCTGGCAGCAGGTGATGGGGTGCATCACACTGCACCCGGAGGTGACGGCCTCCTGCACAGTGGCACCAGCTGTGCCCAGCTTGGTGGATTTCTCAGCTCCATGTTCACCAGGAGGCATTGCCTTGGATACAGCTTACCAGTCTTCCCTGCATAAACCTGCTTTTTAGCTTTCCTCCCGTCCTCCTGCTTTGGGACTGCAATCCCTGCTTCCTTTCCCCATCCCGGCTCCCCAGGTCCACTTCCAGCCCCGCTTCCCCATCCCAATCCCCTGCCCGGCTCTGACCCCTCCTCTCCCCTCCCTTCTCCTTGCAGTGAGCCCCACTGCCACCACCACCCCGCGGATCACCCGCTCCAACAGCATCCCCACCCACGACTCCACCTTTGAGCTGTACAGCACCTCCCAGATGGGCAGCACCCTCTCCCTGGCAGACAAACCCAAGGGCATGATCCGCTCGGGCTCCTTCCGGGACCCTGTGGATGACGGTGAGAGTATGCTTGGGATGGAGGGGCTGTGGGGCTCCCCAGGCCCTCCCCACTTTTTCTGGGCTCTGCTGGAGGGGCTGCTGCATCCAGGCATCAGCATCAGCGCAGTGCATCCCGACCCGTGCAGGTGCTGCTGGGCAGGTTGGAGCCCTGCTGGGTGGCTGGAGGTGCCCGGTGGCCTTGGGTTGGCACCGGGGACGGGGAACCCGAGCATCCAGCATGGGTGGCAGAGCCTCAGGCTCAGTCAGAGCAGGTGGAGGGTGCTCCCTGCCGTGTGCCCAGGCAGGAGGATGCTGGCCGAGTGCCGAGGAGTGGGCAGCGTCCTGCAGCTCTGTCCCCACTCCGGGCTCTTTGCGGAGCCCCTGTGGCATTATCCTGTGCCTTTAACCCCAGGCAGCACTCAGTCTCTTGACACACTGGGTTTTGCTGTGTTGCAGTTCATGGATCGGTGCTGTCCCTGGCCTCCAGCGCGTCCTCCACCTACTCCTCCGTAAGAGCTGCCGCCGGGCTGCGCCTCCTCATTGCATGGCTATGGGCTGGGGGGTCCGAGGGGGGGAAAACGATGCTGCCCCCCGCGGGGCGGCTCCGTGCATGTCCTCTGTCCCATGCTGAGCCTGTCTGCGCCTCGCTGCCCTCCTGACTGCCTGCCTCTGTCTGTCTCTCTCTGCCCTCACGCTGCCAGGCTGAGGAGAAGATGCAGTCTGAGGTGAGCCCGTGCCCAGCGCTGCTACTTGGTCCCCACCCACAGCCGCTGTGAGCACACGGCCCCTCTCACCCCTCTGCTCTCTCCTTGCAGCAAATCCGCAAGCTGCGTCGCGAGTTGGAGTCCTCGCAGGAGAAGGTGGCCACGCTGACATCCCAGCTGTCTGCTAACGTGAGTTCCTGCAGGATGTGTGGGGCTGATGCTCACCTCCACTCTGGTTCTCTTAGGAGCTGACCTGCTGTGGGCTCTGCTCCGCGCTCCTCTTCTCTGCCCCAGGAGGAGTCCCCTCTGCTGCTCCCTGCCACCTGCACTGAGCAGCCCTGGGGCTGCAGGTGCTCACCCTTCTCTCCATCTCTCCCAGGCCAACCTGGTGGCAGCTTTTGAGCAGAGCCTGGTGAGCATGACGTCCCGCCTGCGGCACCTGGCCGAGACCGCTGAGGAGAAGGTGGGTGGGTGCTCAGGGTGCCGGAGCTGGGGGTGCTCTGGGAGTTCTCCTGCACCACTGGGATGCGCTCCATGACTCCTGGCTCTGCTCCTGCAGGACACGGAGCTGCTGGACCTGCGGGAGACCATCGATTTCCTGAAGAAGAAGAACTCAGAGGCCCAAGCCGTGATCCAGGGTGCCCTGAATGGCACCGATGTTGCTCCCAAAGGTAAGGCATGGTGGTCTGCTGGCCACCAGGGGGCTGTGACCTGGAGAGCCTCAGCTGTGCGGTTAGGAGCTGGCATCTGGGTTGAGCCAGCTGTTTTGGGTTCCTTGGGCTCCTCTCTACCTGGGGTTCCCAATGCCTGTGTGTCACAGCCAGAACTGTCATCGCAGGCCTTGGTGCTGGTGTATGGGGAATGGGATGGTTGTCCTCCCCCAGACCTCCCCTCACTGGGCCTGTTGCCACCAGTATGTTCCTAGCTACTCATCTTGGCTTTATTCTCACCAATGCTCAAGTGTTTCTTACCTCCAGGTCCCACTGTGGGTGTGGGGTGCTGGCAGGGAGGCAGCCTGGAACCTGAGGGGAACAGTGTCTGCTCTGTGCACGTCCCTGGTTGTCAGCATCTCATGTCCCCTTCCTGCCTGGTTTGGGTGGGCCAGGGGGAGAAGGGGCGGATTGCAGGTGGGTTGGGAATATGTGACGGCTCTGGTGCTGGATAGATGCAGTTTAATCGCTCCCTTCTTGGTCTCTCCCCTTGTCTGCTTTCCCTTGGTGGCCCCAGAGCTGCGCATCAAGCGGCAGAACTCCTCCGACAGCATCTCCAGCCTCAACAGCATCACCAGCCACTCCAGCATCGGCAGCAGCAAAGATGCCGACGCCAAGAAGAAGAAGAAGAAGAGCTGGGTGGGTTGGGCAGGGGGCAGGCGTGGGGAGGGGGTGCGGGGTCTGGGTGGGCTCAGCCCTATGAGCCAGCTGCACTCACTCTGTTATGACCTCGTGGTGTTGGTCCCCTCTGTCCCCTGGGGACAGCACTGGCAAGGAGCACAGAGCACCATGGACTTGTCCTGTGCTGCCTGGGGCCAGGGCTTCCCCAGCTCCTCCAGGAGTTTTCCAACTCTTATCCTGCACAGCTTCTCCTCGTGGTCTCTCCCACTTGTCAGCCCTGCCCCCGCAGGGGAATTGGCCAGGGGCTCTGCAGGCACTCGGCCAGGTGGCCCCGAGCTGGATGCATGATTAAGTCTCGCTTTGTTCTGTTTCTCTTCCCCCTATGCTGACCTCATCCCTTTTTTTCCAGGTGTATGAGGTAAGTCCTATGCTGTGCCCTCCACCCCATGCTGTGCCTGCTCTGGGTGCTCGCTCCATTTCACGGGAAGGCACTCATGACACAGAGCATCGCATCCCACTGGCACGAACCCCAGGGCTTTGTGCTGAGCACGCCTTGGTTGCTTCCTGTGGGGTCAGAACTCAGGCAGGGGCTGAACCCCCTGGGCAGCTTGGCAGAGATCCCTGGGGCAGGATGGGGACCTGTCCCAGAGATGGGGACCTGTCCATGGATGGTGTCTGTCCTCTTCTTGCTTGGGGCAGGCATCACAGCCATCCAAGGGCAGCCCCACAAAGGAGACACTGCAGCCCTGATTGGTGTGGTGCTGCCCTCGTTGGGCTGTGCATCAGGTGTCACAGTGCCCAGCTCCTCAGCTGGCCCCAGGGGTGACCCCCAGCCTGCCAGTGGGGCTGAGTTGCTCTGTTCCCCTCAAGGCCCATGTAGGTCCCACTATATTATTGTCATCAGCAGAGCCAGGCACTCAGCTTGGTTTTTGCACGAACCATCCCACCCTTTCCATTGTGACAGTTTTGCTCCTGAGGAATGCCAGCTTAGCTTTTCTACAGCCAGTGGGAGGTGGGCTGCATCCTGCCCGCTCTCCACCCCCTTCTCCATCCACCTCCCACTGGAACATCCCCCCCCCCCCCAGGGGATGCGCTGTGAGCTCAGTGTCCCAGAGGTGGGCTGTGTAAGCCATGGTTTGGCCCCTGCACAGCATCCCTCTGTTCTCTCCAGCCTTTCCCACTCATCTGTCTGCTGCTGTGTGTGTGCTGTGTGCATGCTGCATGCCCACCCTCGTGCCCCACACCTCCAGAAGGATGCAGAGGGGCTCAGGATGTCCCAGGACCCAGCTCTGCGGTGGCTGGGTGCTGCAATGTCCTGCTTGCTGGGTTGGCTGCTGGGTGACTGCCAGCATGGAGTCTGCTCTTTGGGATGGAGCAGGATGCTGGTGCAGTGCCCCGCAGGATGCAGGATGCAGTGTGGGTGCTGGTGGGGGAGCGTGGCTGGGAGGTGGGTCCTGTGGTTGGTGCTGGTTGGGGTGGAGGCTGTGCCAGCAGAGCAGGGTGGTTGTAGTGGGCAGTCCTGCCTCAGTGGTGGTCCTGCTGTCTGGTCCCAGTTCAGACTGCCTGTGGGCATGGGCACAAGGCTGGGCCAGGACTGCGTTTGCAGGGCTGTCTCTAACAGGAGTGTTTCTGTCTCCTGTAGCTGCGTAGCTCCTTCAACAAAGCCTTCAGCATCAAGAAGGGGCCCAAGTCGGCCTCGTCCTACTCAGACATTGAGGAGATCGCCACGCCGGACTCCTCAGCCCCGTCCTCCCCCAAGCTCCAGCACGGCTCCACCGAGACCGCCTCGCCCTCCATCAAATCCTCCACCTCCTCCTCCGTGGGCATCGACACGGCTGAGTGCGTGGTGCAGGGGAGGAGGGCTGGCCGTGGGGTGGCTGTGCGCCCACCCCAACCCTGAGCACACCTCGGTCTCTCCCTGGCCCAGGCTCTTCCAGGCGCATGGTGAGGGCGAGCCGGAGAAGAAGGAGGTGTCAGAGCTGCGCTCGGAGCTGTGGGAGAAGGAGATGAAGCTGACGGACATCCGCCTGGAGGCCCTCAACTCGGCTCACCAGCTGGAGCAGTTGCGGGAGACCATGCATAACATGCAGGTGGGGGTGGCTGCTCTCCCCAGAGCCTTGTCGTGGCTCTTGGGGCGCTGCCAGCACACAGCTGCTCACCCGGGCCGTCCTGCTCTTCTTCCCTAAGCTGGAGGTGGATCTCCTGAAGGCGGAGAACGATCGGCTCAAAGTGGCTCCGGGGCCCTCGGCGGTGCCGGGATCCATTCCTGGCCACATCACCAGCACGTCGGCCTCCTCGTCGCCACGGCGCTCGCTGGGGCTCTCCCTGGGCCATGCCTTCAGCCCCAGCCCGGGGGATGCCGGTAGGGATGGCGGAGCTGCCTGTGCTGATGGCTGTGCAGGTCTGGCTCAGGCTGGGTGTACTCAGACCCCACGCCTCTTCTTTGTCCCCAGACATGTCTCCCATGGACGCCGTCAGTGCTGGCACCCAGAAGGATGAGCTGACGCTGAGGATCGTGGTGCGCATGCCGCCCCAGCACATCATCAAGGGGGTAAGCGTGGGCTGTGCAGGAGTCCCGACCTGTCCCTGTGGGGCAAAATGCTGTGCTCCAACCCCACACACCTCTGCCTTGGCTCCTAGGACCTCAAGCAACAAGAGTTTTTCCTGGGCTGGACCAAGGTGAGCGGGAAGGTGGACTGGAAGATGCTGGATGAGGCTGTCTGCCAGGTCTTCAAGGTAGGAGCGTTGTGACTCCTCTTCTGAGAGCCTTCCTCATGCTTCTCTGTGCCTGGGTCCTGACTGGGGACTCATGGAGCTGCTGAGCCCTGCTTGCTCTTTAACAGACCCATCTTTGTCTTCACAGGATTACATCACCAAGATGGATCCTGCCTCCACGCTGGGGCTCAGCACTGAGTCTGTTTATGGCTACAGCATCAGCCACATCAAGCGGGTCCTGGACACGGAGCCGCCAGAGCTGCCGCTGTGCCGCCGGGGCATGAGCAGCATCGTGGTGACACTCAAAGGTCGGTGAGCAGAGAGGCTCCACGGCTGTGCCGTCCCCCCTCTGTCCCCTGGTGCCACAGGGTGTGAGCGGGACGCTCATCCCTCCCTGCAGGCTTGAAGGAGAAGTGCGTGGACAGCTTGGTGTTCGAGACGCTCATCCCCAAGCCCATGATGCAGCATTACATCAGCCTCCTGCTGAAGCACCGGCGGCTCATCCTCTCGGGACCCAGCGGCACCGGCAAGACGTACCTGACCAACCGGCTGGCCGAGTACCTGGTGGAGCGCTCGGGCCGGGACGTCACCGAGGGCATCGTCAGCACCTTCAACATGCACCAGCAGTCCTGCAAGGTGAGGGACTGTCCCTGTCGGTGCTGCTGTCCCACTCGATGCTGGGGCCGTTCGTGATGCTCCGTTGTTTGCAGGACCTGCAGCTGTACCTCTCCAACCTGGCCAACCAGATCGACAGGGAGACGGGCACGGCGGACGTGCCCCTGGTGATCCTCCTGGACGACCTCAGCGAGGCGGGCTCCATCAGTGAGCTCGTCAACGGTGCGCTCACCTGCAAGTACCACAAATGGTGAGAACTCTGCTGTGTCCCCATCCCGCACAGCCTCCTGTGTGGCCACGTATGTGCCTGGCTCTGCTGCGGCTGGGAGTGATGCAGGCTGCTTTTTTCTCATCGATCCCATCTCTCGCTCAGCCCCTACATCATCGGGACCACCAACCAGCCTGTGAAGATGACCCCGAACCATGGTCTCCATCTCAGCTTCAGGTAGAATCATAGACTGTCCCAAGATGGAGGAGACCCGTAAGGATCCAACTCCTTAGGATTATACATCCCTGGGGAGCGTTCCGGTGGGCTTGGGGAGGCCAGAGGCTGTCACTCCTTGCTGCTGGGCAGTCCCAGGAACACATACTGTGGTGGGGGAGCCTGATGAGGACCAAGCCCCATGCCTTTGCCTGCCATCCCAGAAGGGTCTGATTGCCTCACCCCTGGGCTTGGGCCATGTGGGGGTCCTAGGAGCCCCTCCTAAGGGTCCGAGGACCGTGAAAGGGGCTGGGGAGGTACTGTGGTACATGGACAGCCCCATCCCTGAGCACCCCGGTCTCCCCCAGGATGCTGACCTTCTCCAACAACGTGGAGCCAGCCAATGGCTTCCTGGTGCGCTACCTGCGGAGGAAGCTGCTGGAGTCAGACACGGACGTCAACGCCAACAAGGAGGAGCTGCTGCGTGTGCTGGACTGGGTGCCCAAGCTCTGGTACCACTTGCACACCTTCCTGGAGAAACACAGCACCTCCGACTTCCTCATCGGTACGGCCAGGCACGCCTTTCTCTTCTACATCTTCTTCTTTGGGTGCAGCTTTGCTGGCGTGGGGCGGGTGGCTGGAGCCAGAGAGCCCAGCTCCCATCTGTACTCTGCCTCCTCCTGCAGGTCCCTGCTTCTTCCTGTCCTGCCCCATCGGAATCGAGGATTTCCGGACCTGGTTCATTGACCTGTGGAACAACTCCATCATCCCTTACCTGCAGGAGGGGGCGAAAGATGGGCTCAAGGTACCCAGCGCATCCTGGCACGTGGGGACACAAAGCAGTGCCCAGCTCAGAGCTGGTGGCGCCTGGGCTGTGCTGGCACCCTTGGGGTGGGGTAAAGGTTTGGTGCCACCTCTCTTGCTCCCTGCCTGCAGGTCCACGGGCAGAAGGCAGCCTGGGAGGACCCCGTGGAGTGGGTGCGGGACACCCTGCCCTGGCCATCAGCACAGCAAGACCAGTCCAAGCTGTACCACCTGCCCCCACCCACCATCGGACCCCATAGCACTGTCTCCCCCCCTGAGGAGCGCACCGTCAAAGACACAACGCCCAGCTCCCTGGATGCAGACCCCCTGGTACGGCTGCGGTGTGCTGGGGAGGGGGTGGGTGGTGCTGGTGGAGGGAGAGCAGCACGGAGCTGAGCATTGCTTTCCCAGTTAGTTTTTGGTGTAAAAACCCTGATTGAGAGATGCAGAAAAGTTGGGTCTTCCTGGGTGGGTGCAGGATGCTGGCACCAATAGAAATCATAGAGTTTGGAAAAGACCTTTGGTAACATCAAGTCCAACCGGCACCCCGTCCCCACTGCGTCCACTCCTAAATCACAGTGATCCTTCCACCTTTAATGATTCTGAGATCACCAAGTCCATCCCTCAGCCCATCTCTCTGTGCCCTCCAGCCACATCCCTCAGCGCACCCGGGGCCCTTCCCCCGGCGAAGGTGGGCCCTTGGCCATCAAGGCCAGCTCACGGGGGGGGGGGGGGAAGGGTTTGCAGCACATCCAGGCTTTGCTTTACTCTCTGAAGTCCCCCTTTTCCTGGGTGGGCTCTTTGGGAGGGCAAGGATTCCGGGCTGAGTGCCACGCGCTGCTCCCCACAGATGGCCATGCTGCTGAAGCTCCAGGAAGCCGCCAACTACATCGAGTCTCCGGACCGTGAAACCATGGTGGATCCCGACCTGCAATCGACTCTGTGAGGCACGCACATGCCGGCCCAGGTGCAGGGGGCGGCCGCCGGGCTGCCTTCCTCCTCCTCTTCCTCCTCCGGTAGCCTGGAGCGCAGGGCTGGGGCTGGCGAGCGAGCGGTGAGGAGCGGAGCCCTGTGCAGCTCTGCGCAGCGTGGGGAAGCTCAGCTCTGCTGTGGGAGAGTGCGAGGCTCCGCTTCCCCACCCCTCTTTGGGGGTAGGAGAATCTTGGTTTCTCTTCTTGGTTTTTCTGTCTCTATTGCAAACTCTCGGGTTTTGGGGCCGCTGCGGCCAAGCCCCCGCTCCAGGGAGCTGCAGGATGGGCCCTGCGTGGGGCAGGGACCCCGTGGGAGCCCCCTGGGCTGGAGCTGGGGGGTGGGAGGACGTGTGGCCGTGTCTGTGTGTCCGGCTCCGTGCTCCCACTGCTCTCTTTGTACATTCCTCATTTAACCTGCTTGGCAGCCGCTGCACCCAGGACAACCCAATAAACCCCGCTTCGGTTATTTTATTTTATTACTCCCCCCTCCCTTTTTCGTTTGACCGAGTCCAGACTTTGCTTTGCTCCCTTTTTTGTTCTGGTTCTTTGCTCTCCCAAGCCTGAGCCCATGCTCTGGTGCCCATCGCTTCCCCCCCCCTGAGCAGCTCTGCTTCCTTTTGGTTTCTTTTACAGCTGTTGGTCCCACCACTCCACACACTTCCGTCACACAACTGGTGCTCACTGGACAACCTCCAGTCCCCAAATCCACCTCTCCAGTTGCCTCATATCTTGGCTGGGATGGGTCTGGGCAGGTGGTGGTAGGGGGGTGCACCCGGAGAGCCCCTTTGCCTGGAGGCCCCCTCCCCAAAAGCACAAGGCAAAGTGTGGCCTTGGGCCAGGGGGGTGCTGTGGGGCTGCCAAGGGGCAGCACAATGCCATGGGGGCAAGGGGTGGCAATTTGCTCCCATCCCCTCTCTGCTGCTGGGTTGGGTGGCACAGGGACAGAGCCGTGCCTGACATTGTCCCCGCGCCTCTGGCTCACCACTGCCCCATGGGGTTTCGTGACCCCCCCCCAGGCCCACCCGGTGCCCTGCAGCCGCACAGTGCCCTCTCAGCATGGGCTCTCCATACCCACACTGGTGCTCTGGGGACATCCAGCTGGGGCCACGCGTCCCCTTGGCCCTATGGTGCAATGTCACAGGCGCTGCTCCCTGCACTGCCTTAATCCCTGTGGGTAGGGGGCACGCAGGGCTGGAGGGGGGGGGCCACTGGCACGGCCTGCATTTGCTGCCTCCAAAGCCAGCTGGGCTGGGATGGGACCGTGGTGCTGGTGCTTTACTGTGCACTGCCCAGCTGGGGCCACTGCCTTCGGTCCCTTTAGTACCCTTCTCTTCCCCTCCTCCCGGCCCCGCAGAGGGCACAGCACCTTTAGGGGAGCGGTTCCCCACGGCTGCTCTGCCCCCCACTGCCTTCAGGGACCCCCCCACCTCCCTGGGGCTCTGTGTGCCCCCCGCTGCCCTCGGTGCTCTCCTGCCCGCGCAGCCCTCCCGCGCGGCCCCATGGTGCTCACTTCTCCGTCTGTCCCACGGCCTCCCCGCTGCCAGCCCCTCTGCACAGGGCTGTCCCTCCCCACGCTGGCTTGGACGTTAGGGCTTTCCGTTTGCCTTCTGTTGTGTTGTCAGCTGAGGACTCGCTGTAAATAGATCCGTAGTCGAACGCCCTGCGTGAGTTGGCGGGGTCCGACCCTGCGCGTCTTTCTCCTTTTTTTGTACTCTGTGATAACTGTGCTGTGCTGACTTCTTTTCTGATTGTACCAGGTGTTGGCTCAGCAGCAGCTCGAGGTTGGGGACCCGCACTCCCCTCTCACCCCCCTCGGGACCTTAACGCCCTGAGGACGGGGCACAAAGCACCTTTGGGGGCCCTGGAGGAGCCCCGCAGTGCACGGCGTTGGTGCAGCCTCACACTGGAATTTCATCCCTGGCGCCACCACGGAGCCACCAAAACACCCCACAAACCCTCACGGGACACGCACTGCAGCGTCCCCTTGTGTGGCCTGTGGGGTCGCCCCATAACCTGTGGGTGCAGACACCCAAGCCCTGTGGGATGAACAGCAGCTACAGCCGAGCCCTGGGCACGGTGGCTGCTGGGTGGGGCTTCCTAGTGGGGTCCCTCACCCAAAGGGGACCGGCGTTGGTGGCTCCTGTTGGTGTCCCCCAGTGTGGTGGCACCCACTGGGGAGGTTGGGTACCCTCAGGGTGCCCACACCCATGGATCCCACCATTGCTCTGCCCATTGCTGGGGCTGCCGGCCACCCCCAGGTGTTTGCTGTCCCCGTGGGGACGCTGTGCTAAGGCTGCCTGCTGGCCCCGAGGTGCCGTCACCCCAAAGGTGCCCGCGGCCCCTTGGAGCACCAGGAGCCCCCCCACCACCCTCGAGCTGCTGCTGCCCAGGGGCCTGAACCTTACAATTTTAGCTTTTTTCTATTAAAAGAAGAAACAAACCTTTTTTTAATTAAATAAAAGATGAAAATGGACAAATTCCTGTTTTAGATGATCTGTGTAACTGACTGGGTTTTGTGTTTCTTAACTGCATGGTGTTCCTGCCGAGGGGTTTTATAGCACTTTTTAAATTTCTCTTTAAGATTTTGGTCCAGATTTCTACTGCTCTCTCGCCTGTCTGTCTTTGCTTTTTCCCTCGCCTCCAAGTTTGTAAACTCGCTCCGTTTTATACCTGATGTGGAAACCCAACCCCACGTTGTACATAGCTGCGGGAACAATCAGAGGAACAAACACCACCTGGACTCTGCCACCATTCGTCGTTTTTACTTAAAGAAAGTACACGAGGAAGCCAGGAAAAGGCTTGAGGCTCATTCCGAAGGACAGTAACCAACCCAGCCCTGCACCAAGTCAGCTCCTGCTGCCCACGCCGCCCGCACCACCCGGCATGTCTCTCTCGGTCGTCTGTCTCACACCATTGGGTTCAATAAAGTTATCTCCTGTACTGCCTGGCTGCGTGTCCTCTGTCGCTGCACACAGTGCCCCAAACGCAATCTGTAATGCTGGGCTGTCGTGCACAGTGCTGGGGAACAGGTGAGGACCTGCAGGGAGGCTGCACGGTGCCCTGGAGCTGTTTTCCACTCCACAGAGCGGTGCCAGGAAGGGAAAAATGCTCCAGAAGCTGTGAAATAATGCCAGCACAGCGAGGATCCTCGTGTGGGCTCTTCCCATTGGCTCCCAGGGTTCTGCACAGGGATGGCAGCAACGAGCTGCCAGTCTGCCCCAGCAACTGTGGGGCCTCAGCCCCATTCAGAGCACCTGTACTGCTCTACTGGGGGTGGGTGGGTCGCTGCCCCATATAGATACAGCAGTGATGCTGGGGGACCACTGCGTCCACTCCAGGTGCAGCTGCACTCAGTTTGGGTGTGTGATGCTGTAATGTGATGGAAAGCACAGCAGTGATAGCAGGGTAACAAAGTCCTGGGCTGCAGCAAATGAGGACAAGCTCAAATGCAGCAACCGTAGATGCAAAAACAGCAGAAGAAAAACTGCTTACCTTTAGAAGACCTCCACAAGACAGGGACCTCCAGCAAGATGCTCTCACTTCCACTGCCAGACCTTAGAAGAGGGCTGGGGTGGGCCCTGGCTCCACCCCTTCCTGTCACTCAGGTACATTGCACACACCTGAGCTCCCCTGCTTGGCCCTGGCTTCCCACCAGGTGCTCCATCACTGCTCCAAGCTGTGTCAGCTTTGCCACTACAGGATCTGACTACACCACCCCCATCGGTATGACAGCACCCATGGGTGCTGCAGCACCCAGTACGTGCACACCATCAGCCCATATTCGTACAGTGGCACCCATGGGGTGCTGCAGCATGTGATGTGTGGATGCTGCAGTACAACTCCGTGCAGGTACAGCAGCACCTATAGGAAGCTGCACTACCCGGTATGGGCTGAGTAGTGCCCCATACAGCTGAATCACCACCCTGTCTAGGTACAGCAGCACCCACGTACAGGTACATCATCACCCCACAGCTGCAGCAGCACCACTGGGGCGCCGCAGCGCTGACTACAGTTACATCATCCGGTCGGTACAGGTACGCGGCCAGCCCACGCTCCCAAGGTGACCCCGACCTTTCTGCCCCCCACGGCCCCCTCGGGGCTGCACGGAGGGCTCCTGGCTGCGCCCGGCACGGGCGGAGCTCCGGGGTTGGGGGGGTCTGGCAGCTCGCAGCCCGCAGCCCCGCGGTTCGCTGCGGGGACCCCGCGCCGAGCACAGCGCTGGGGGCGGGGCGGACTGCGGAGGGGGGCGTGGCTTGCCGAGGGAGGGGCGTGGCTTGTGGGCAGTGGGCGGGGCTACGCGGAGCCGCTGCACGCGAGCCCGGAGGGGCCGGTGCTGCCGCAGCGCCTGCACCCGTCCCGCACCGCACCGCACCGCGCTCCGCCGCAGCGCACGGTAAGTTCGCGCCCGCCGAAGTTTCTCTCGGCGCTCCCCGGGTGCCGCAGCGGTGCGGGTTTTGCGGGACGGGGCTGCCCGCTCCCCCGGTGATCCGTCCCCGGTGTGTACGGGTGGCTGCTCCGTTTCCCGGTGTCGGTGCGGGGCTGGTGCGGGATCCCGGGGACGCGAGGAGACTGCGGGCTCTGGGCGCTGCCCGGTGCCAGGGGCTGTGCCGGTGGCTGCCCATAGGGCGATGCGCTCTCGGTTCCCCCGTCTGCGAGGCTGACGGCTGCGGGATCCCCCCGGGTTGAAAGAACCACCGCCCCCGGATGTGGGAACCCCCCCGGGATGCGGGATGCACCCCGGGTTTCAGGGCGCCCCGGACCACTGGTGGCTCTCAGCCGCGCACCCACGCGCGTTCGGGGCCGGGAGCGCCCTTGGAATCCCGGCGCTGAGAGGTGGCCGGGGGTTCCCCATCCCCGCAGTTGCAGCCACGGTGCGGTGCGGTGCGGGTAAACGGCGGCAGCATCGCGGCTCCGGACCGGCAGCTCCCGGGGTTCTCCGCCGCGTCCTGGACCGCGGCCAGCTCTGCCGGTCCGTTCGCGGGGCTGCAGCATCCTCCGCGCTCCTCCTGCACGCGGGGTGCGGCGGTGGAGCGGTGCGGGGCGGCAGCGTTGGGCTACAAGG